CCGACACCAGTGCTCTTCAATATTGTAGGTGCTATAGGCGCAATGGTCATATGTTCTCGATCGATTGACCCTTGACGTGTGAGCGTTGGTCGACGAGAAGATTGAGATGAGGGGGGACTAGTAGTACGCATCGCAGTCGGATGGTCTGATCTCGATGAGGACGACGATCTTGACCGTCTCGACTTGATCTCGAGCACATCGTCTTCATCGTCTTCATCCGAATCCGACTGTATTCCACCATGATCGTTGATATAAAACGCCGTCGATGGATGTTGCTCCTCATCCTCATTATCGGCTTCAGAGTCATCTTCGCTGTACCTACATGATTTCCCGTCATTATAGCTTAACCCTTGGAAGGAAAAAGACATGAACTGACCCTTCGTCGTACACCGGATCCGAGTAAAATATAGGTCCAGAATACTTCCTCTTCGGCTTCTCAATAGCAATATATTGCTCCACAAAAGTGTTAAAGCTAATGTGCTTCTTCTTCGCCACAACCACCCCGACACCATCCGCACCATCGAGATCCTGGCTGCTCCCTGTCGATGACGACGCATTACTAGACGTCGCCCCAGAAGTCAAACCACCAGCCGATGTACACTCAGCGGACGGGCCGTGCAAGTCAGCAGCGACAACTCGCGGGGGTGACTCCTTACGGAAAGCGCGCACTCGAGAGCTGATGTGCGTGTCCGACTTGGTGTGTAATAGTGGTGGACGATGGGGCTCCTCTTCGTCATCGAGTAGATGGTGTGGATCATCGATGTCTTCAGAGTCGGAGCCTTCTCCATGGAAGAAGGGGCTTGCGGGGAGGGAGAGTAGTTGGGATATGCTGCGCCGCTTGAGGATGGGCTTCGTGCATACGGGAGACGGACCGCGGGGGCGGTTGGGGGGACCACTGCCGATGCTTAGTCGGCGGGCGGCGGCGGGTGATGGTGGTGGGTTGTGCTTGGGCGCTTTCGCCCAGTCGGAGCCTGTGTGTAGGGGGCCATATAACCATGTCACGTCCGAGTCTTTCAACCTGATAGCGAAGAATTAGTAAGAACCTAATGGATTAAGGCACGATGATAGAAGTGGAGATGGAAATTCATATCATCTGGCGGAGGTACTAGGAAATTCCAGCACGATGCGGGGCAGATGCACAGACAGGATTGTCTGCTGGTTGATTTGTCAACGAGGGAAGGTGAGGTTGGTGCTCACCAGTTGAGAGTCTCTGGGCTGATTGTCTTCAGTTTGTTCCGCTGCTTCCACCACGTTCTCCAGCTCGCGTTCTCCAGCCTCATACCATTCGCGATAGCGTTCTTCTGCCTCGTCATACTTCGCCATGACCTCCACACGTCCTCCTCCTTCCATTCGTGAGAGAGATAGTCGACCTGACCTTCTGGCTGCGTCGAAAAAGATGTATCGTCTGGTACGGCATGGTTCGTGACAGAGACTAGTAATACGGGTAGATAGCTTGTTAGGGTGGCCGGTACTGGCATCATGGGTTGTGACAATGAGGGATGACCAGTGGCGGGGGAGGGGAGAATGAATGAGCGTCGCAAGTGAGCGCCTGGAGAGGGAGGAGGTTATGGGAGGAAATAAGCTGTTCCGTTGAGGCCAGGGGAGATTTGAGATGATTGCTGATGAGTCGAGCACGAAAGGGAGGCTAGGCAGAAGAGAGTCAGACTTCCACGAGGATGGGCCCTAGTCAGCGTCAAAACGCGCTGCAAGTTCGGGGTTCTGGAAGTACGATGCTCCTGCCGTTGTTCAGAGTTGGATTTCAGCGGTGTTGGACTAGACCGAGTAAGTCGACATGGGCAGCCGCACCAACGGTTGAGACAAGGAGGAGGAGGAGGAGGAGGGCGGGGGTTGTGGTGGTCGCTATTCAAGGGGAAGTTATCAGACCGGCCGTGGGGCGCTGGCGTCGGTGACTAAAGCGCTCCCAAATATGGAAGTTTTCGTCAAAACACCCAAACTCTGCGGAAATCATTTTTTCAGTTCCCGCTTCTTTCCGAAGATAAGTGCCACGTGATAGCCACGGTAAGCCCATATCCATCGTTTTCAGATCTAGATAGCCCTTGATCTCAGATCTGACCTTGCTGTAGCCAATCAGTGTTGCCTTGTGAACGTGGAGTAAATAATATTTAATTATTTTAGCTTGAACGTCAAACATCGCCCGGACGCTGAGCCGGATCTTCTTGTCTCTGTCCGCGTCCGAGTTCGTTGTTCCAATAATTTCGCATGCACTGCCCTCGCGGCTGCTCGTAACCCGTATTATTCGCTTTTTTTGTGTATTCTGGCTCATTCGACGGCAATGTTTTGTGCCAGTTGTTGCCGTCCGGAAAACACATGCATGGCCCATTTTACCCCGCACACGGAAGCCCACGCCTCCCCGATCCCCCTGTTACATACATGACGTCCCTATGTTTTCGATTACTTATCTTCAATTTCGTCAAATTCACTCTTCACGCCACCAGCTGCTGAGTTGCTCGATCAGCCGTGCTACGAGCCTCATAAAGCAGACCGAGGCGAAGCTTAGGCTCTCTTTCAACTCCACTCCTCCTCAAACTGCCCGACAAAAACTCCAAGTTCCTAGTTGAAGCCAATTATATATCGACGCCAATTATGCCTCCGCACCTGCTGTATTTGGGCCATTGTACCAAGCCCCTTTGTCGTTTGGTCGCACTATTCTGTGGTGCCAGGACATCTGACCGACGACTGCCACGAAACCAATGCCTTTTACAGAACAACCCGCACCTTCCATACAGTGCTCTTTTCTGGTTTTCTGCGTCTGCGATCGTTGCTACACAGACCGACAGTTCATCGAAGCTAAACAAATCTACGCCCGGACTGCGGGGAACATAACGGGTCGCCACAACTCTACATACTTACTGCACATATCAACAACGCCACCCCGGAACATAGCCGTCATATCATATTCGCATGTCCAAGGCTCATTCAGGTTCGCGTCCTGGCCTCAGAGCCCGAGAAATGCATATGCGTTTTGAAGTTCACACCAGACATGCATGTGTTCGGCACGCACCGAGACCATGTTGACGCTCCCTGTCGACGATGGTACCAACAGCGTACACACTGTGCTTCAGCACTGTTGTTAGTTACGGTCAGAGTCGGGTGAGTGTTCAACAATTCTAGATTTCCGTGATTATACAACTCATTTATCTCGCATCTTCCTGTCAGCTATTGTCAAAAAAAAAAGAGTTTCAGATTCTCGTGGTCGGTCGACGGTCGCGCCAGGTCGCGCCACATAGACGAGTCTGGGGTATGCACGGTTGCGGCGGGCTGTGCCGGCAAGTGGAATGCCCCTTGCTGCGCCATCGTCACCGAGCGGGAGGACCACGATGATGTCCAAGGCTCCAAGCGTCCCTTGTTTGTCGGTCTACCTCATCCGAGGCCCCCGCGTACTCGCCACCTCCCGTGAGTCAGTCGCCAAGGACGTCTCATCAGCTGTACACCTGCTTGTCGTTCAACGTCGACTGCGAAGAGCTCGGTTGTGGTGGATGAAACACTACCAAGGTCCGTAATTCGCGTCCACCTAAACCGAGTTGATTTCCAGTTGAACTACCTCGCAAGTCAACATTCTACATTCAACGTTCATCGACATCTTCCAGGGTTGTCAGTTTCCCCGCACACCGTACGAGAACAAACTCAACTGACATAGGTTACCCCGCATTACGCAATTGTGCTATGCCTCGTTTAGAAGGCGGCGAGCGGATCGTCCGAGTCAACGTTACGACGCGGGCAGTAGTTTCTATACCTAGTTCCGGGAAATGAGCTGCGAGCAATAACATACAGGTACGTGATCCTCTTCTAGCTTACGACTCTCGTGGATCCGGAGCGTTCACGTAAAGTATCCACGAAACGGGATGGTCCATCTGCTGGAGGTCTCTAGCGTGGGTGAGTGACATTCCAGCACGCTGTGCATTCTTCATTATCGCATAGTGGTACGTTTCCAGCATTACAGTATGTGGAATTCTCGGTGCATGACCTGCAACACATTGACACTACTTACTAGGATCAACTTCGGTGACAAGGGTCTAGAGAGATTCATTCCTCTACCTGAATCTCTCTCCTGATTTCTGACTTGAGTGGGTCTAACAGCGCACGTGCATAACGAATATACAGATCACCATAGAACGCCATCGGTGTGTGTTATGCCGATAGCTACAACGGTCCTGACTAAGGCCTGCTGGGAGATTTTTCTGTATGACTACAACTACCTACAGTACCTAACTATTCTATTCGCTAAAGTCAAGATAACTAAAGCTCTAGACGACATATACGTATTCGACCGACTCCATAATCACCGCCTAGCCCTAGCCCTCCGAAACTCTCGGAATTCGAATTCGTACAGTACTCCTAATTCCAGCCCAACAATCGATAAACATATCATGTCGACTTTGTTCTCGGAACGGTCAACCGAAGTCGCACCCATCCCTGAACGTCTCTCATCGATGGATACCATGGTGCGATGAAGACTCCAAACTCCGTCTTCCGCATAAATTTGGAGCAAAGTATCAATATATCATATATCAGCCCCTCTTCACAATATAAAACTCCTAGAACCAGCTTTTTGTATGACTTTCTGGTTTTACCCGCTTTACCAAGAGTTTTGAGGATATTCACCTAAAAGTACAAGGTAAAATAGACCCAGTGTGATCGGGATATCTGTTTGTAATCGAGAAAACGCTGTTACTACTGTATTCATCGTCGATCGATCGTTCAACAGTGTTGTGCCTGCCTATGCCGCACGCCGACCGACCGTGATGCGCTCTCAGTATGGCGAGAGTCGTTTGGTTGCCAGTGCAAGTATTCTCGACGACATTGGTTTCGTGGGTGTGAACTATACGTAGCAGATAATTATGCAGTATGAATGAATTATTTGTGCACCACGCAGGATCCAATAGATCATCAATATCAACAAGCTTTTAGTATGTCTTCCGAAACGTATACCATAGGACCTACTTTCCCTGACCCAAGCGTGGCAAGTTGAGGGGAGTTGGTAACTGGTAGCTCAGTCTGGTAGAGCGCATGATTTAAAAGTGAGGGCGTGGGTTCGATTCCTACCTGGTGATCCAAAGCTCTTCTCAACTTGCCACAAGTTCGAGTTTTTCTGTAGTTCGATGCAGGTGTGCGTTGAACAATGGTCACCATTTTATTACAGCAACTCGACTAAGTGTGTCCTGTTGCCAGTATACAACCCGCTTAGGAATATCCGCAAAGGGCCCATACTTGTCGAATCGACTAACCTGTCTTGTTTTGCCGAGAGAAGTGTAACATTTGAGGCAACCGGAGCGTCGTGTATGGCCACCGATATAAAATACAAAAAGTACAAGTAGACAGGGGTGGAAGACGAGGAAATCAAACAGCGGTGTAAAAATACAATAGGCAGGAAGATACGAGGAGTCAGAGGCCGAAGGTGAAACGGAAAAACGAGCACGAGGCTAAAAATACAAGTACAGCATAGAGAAAAAAGAGAATAGAGGGAGGGAAAAGATTAGACTAGGGCGGGTGAGGGCTGAGCGCGGTGCCTGGCGAAGGTAATGTCAGCGAAAGTCTTGCGGAGACTTGAGAGAGGTGTACTGACCTGGCAAAGGTAATGTCAGAACGGAGTGAGTGGGAAAACGCCACCTCCTCGTCTCACATATACCTGTCGTGCGCTCGTCGATTCGACTTGTGTAACCGTACTTAAACTCGATGCATTTTCTTCATCCGTCAATCACACCTACCGAATATTCAGTTCACGGTTTTGAGTATACCCTCCGAGAGTGCAATGCTAGCCCCAAGTTGAACGTTGAATATCCGGGACATTTACCTGCTTCCAAATCAATACTACACGTGAAGACTTCTATTACAACGATATAAACTTCATTCGAGTATAAGCGGAATCTGTAGAAACTCGTAAGCAACAACAAGTCTACAAATAAAAAATCCATACGTCGTCACATACCTCGGAAACTTTTTGATCTAGTACAACCGCTAACCGCTCACCAAACTCAACAAGCCTCATCGGAGCCTTCCTTCGACAATACCTGCTGACCGTTTCGTCTGAAATCTTTGTCGCCGAAACACTCGCACCAGTCGGTTTCGCCACAAACGCCGCCTTGGTCCTCGCCAAATGATCATAAAACCAGAACACTTGAGAGGGACTCATAGCACCGTTGGGTTTCACGCATTTTCCACAATCGTAGCCGATCCACGGGTCACCGTCCATCCCAAGTTCGTCCATCCAGTCCTCTAGAATAGGGTCAATAACATCTATGCACTTTTGACGGTAGACGACGAGTTTGTGGTACATCGATGCCGGGAGGAGGTCGTACTCCTGTAAGGAGGGGCCAGGGACGGGGTGGGAGAGGGTTAGTCTGCCTGCGAGTTTGGCTTCGGGCCAGAGGCTGAACATGCATGCGATAGCATACGCACGGCGGGGTTCCTTGTCGGTGAATTGCCAGCGGAGGATGTAAGCTAATTGAGAGGTGACGCCTTTCATGTCGTGCTTGTCAGCGGCGGTGAAGAGAAGGTGGAGAGTGTGCAAGTCTGAGACGGACCCGTGGAGGGAAGGATAGCAGAAGCGTAGTAGTTGGTCCAGTACAAGTGTAGATTCTGTGACTGGTATGATTGGTAGACTGCCCTCTGCGACGTTTGACGTCTCAGGCGGTAGATCAAACATTGCCTCAAACACGGACGAAGCGTCTGAAAGAATGTGCTTGTGGACTTTGAATTGGGTTTCATCTGAGGATTCGAGTATAACATCTGCATCCGACGCGTTGGATGTAGAAGCCATGGTGGATGCACTGTGGAATATGCACAGTGAGGGTCAAATATGTTTTGCTGCGGCTCATGCAGTAGAAGTCATGATCAGCAGCCTGTTTGCGCAGACTTGGGGTAAATCCTAGAAGAAAACTCAAGAAATTATGAGCCTGATAAATCTTTCGACCTGCTTCATACCGATACCTCGTTCTCAGATGGTAGATGGTAGAACGAGAGCAAAACAAGGCTCCCGAGCGTCCAGTGCCAGAGTCGTAGACGCGCAAGCGGCGAGAGCGTCATATCTTTGACCAACTCAGCAGCATAGACCTGTATCTGTACTCTTTACCCCTTCCATCCCCCTCTCGCTGCTTGTCGGCCACGACGGTACCACCGTCTTACACGAACTTAACGACCATTAATGTCCACGGCTCCCATTCCGCAAGAGCCGAGCATCGACGAATCTCTTTCCAAGCTCCAAGTCGCACAACCGGCTTCAACACAAGAGGTATCGTCAAATCCATGGCAAGACAATGCAGAGTCCTCGGAAAGCATCCAACCGTCGGAGGACACTGTAAATGCCCCAGATCTCTCTGAGTTCGACCCTGCTGCTGTTTCAGGGTTTATTCCAACGCCTGAGCCACAGCCAATGCCAGAACCAGTGAAACACGAGATCTTAGAGGAATTCGATCCGTTGGTGAGTTCAGAGGAGAAAGCAGCGAAAGAGGCATGGGAAACTTCTGAAGCCCATCCCCCACCTCCCCCACCTCCGCCTCCAGAGGATAGCAAACCACCGCCACCTGTACCGACCAAGCAAGAGTCATTACCAGAGCCCCTACGTTCCGGGTCTCCCATCCCCTCGTTCCCGTCATTGGCTGCACTGGCAAGGACGTTTGCTCTACCGCTCACTGGATCTCGTCCGAGACCGCGATCTTTGGACACTGCAACTGCCGTACCTTCTCCGACGACCATATCTTCGTTTGCATCTCAACAACAACTTCCCCGACCTCCTCTGACTCCTCCAAGTCAGGATAATCCGGACAGTGGAAGGAGTACACCTATGAGTAGGTCGAAGAGTGGGGAGGGCGAGCCGCTGCAGTTCGACTTTCAAAGGTTCTTGGATCAGATGAAGACCAAGAGTGCGGACCCGGTGGCTAAATATCTTCGCTCGTACGTGCGGTTTCATCTCATCTCCGTACTTACTTTCTATATTTTTACTGCGTTTGCTGTAGATTTTTGAGCAATTTTGCGAAACGGACATTCACTGTGGGTGACCAAGTAAAGCTCATCAACGATTTCCTCAACGTATGCTTCCCGATCCTCTTATTAGCCTAATCGTCATTGTCAATAATTATTACCAGTTCATATCCGTCAAGATGCGGGAATGTGACGTCTGGAAGAACGCATCAGACGCAGAGTTCGAGAACGCAATGGAAGGCATGGAGAAGCTGGTCATGAACCGTCTATACGACTAGTAAGTTCTCTCCTTATGCCCCGCTTATGATGTTATTCTTCTTGGTCTTGAATGAAGACGTTATTCTTGCTTTCATTATACAGCACGTTTACTCCGCAAATAGCCAGAATGGTTCCGCCAAGACCTATCACGGCAGATGACTTGGAGCGAGACCACATACTCGAGCAGCGAATTGCGTTGTTCAGGTGGATAGAGCCCAATCATTTGGACATCCCTGACAAACATGGTCGCGAGGGGTTCCTTATGTTCGCTCAACAAGGTCCGTCCTTACTCCCTTTTAATAAACCCTCGGCTTACGTCTGTTTATAGAGCTCCTGAAAATTAACCACTACAAAGCCCCACGGGATAAACTCATCTGCATATTGAACTGCTGCAAGGTCATATTCGGTCCGCCGTCCTACCTTCCGAGGATCTCAAGTGCCCACAATTGACTGACGTTGTATTCCCGCTTGGGTGTTATAGGTTTGATCCGACATCTGCAGAGGGAAGAAGGCGCAGATAGCTTCATACCGATTTTGATCTATGTCGTGTTAAAGGCGAACCCGGAGCACCTGCTATCTAACGTTGAGTGAGTGTTCTCAATAGGATTTGGTAGTAGCGCGTGGTAATAATGTATGGAAAGGTTTATTAACAGATTTAGGAACCCTACGAAGCTTCAGAGCGAGGCAGGGTACTATCTCTCCAGCCTGGTATGTACTATCACTCTCTCGATTCTCACAGCTCTCAATCGTGACACAACGTCCAGATGGGTGCCATCTCGTTTATCGAGACTTTGGATCATACATCACTCTCACACATCACTGAGGAAGAGTTTACGAGGCTAGTTTTTCTATAACTCTAAAGTCTGTAATATTGATTGTATATTCTGTAGGAACGTCGAGGAATCGATACAAAGCCTACCAAGTTCCGGCTCGCGTACACCTGACCCTAATAGGCCTACTACTCCATCTAATGCTTCTTCCTCTTCCACCTCTCTTCCTCAGCCTTCCTCTCATACAGGTGAAGAATCAGCGGAACCGCTCGCCCTCCCAACGCCTGCACAATCTCAAACGCTATTGAGTGAAGACGCAAAACGTCTTATTCAGAGAACGGGTGACACCATCTCAAAACCGCTCGCCGCCATCGGACGAATATTCAACGAAGTGCTAGATAGCGCAGAAGAGTCGTTGACTGCTCTCGGAGGTGGACAGGACGGCCAACGAACGCCACCATACCAGACTGGAGATTCTTCCTTGGCCCCTGGATTCTCAGCCCAACAACCTCAGCCTTATCAACCCCGAGTGCGCAGGATACCCTCGCCTAACCCTATAGCTGGACTTCCTACGCCACAGTGGCCACCAGACGACAGCTATGCTCGTCAGCAACGACCATCTCCGCCGTCTGCACCGTACACAAATAATGCCCTTGCTATGGGACCCTCACAGCCGATGATGACACCTCACCCTCGTCCCGTACAAAACCTCGTACAGTCCGACCGAGAGTTCCAAGCGTCGTTGGCAGCATCACGCGCCTCCTCATCTAGTATCCAATCGTATACACAGTCACAGTCGTCGTCGTTGTCATCTTTGTCGGCGTACGGTGGAGAGGGAATGGGTGTAGGAAGAGGGACGGGCGTCTCTCGTACGCCTACGCCTCGTCTGGATATTGTGGGTATGCAGCAAGAGATTGACAGGGTGCATGAGAATGCGGCTGCGGCGGCTAGGGAAACTTTGGGGCAGATATTCCCTAGTATGGATAGGGAGATTGTGGATTTGGTGTTAGAGGCGAATGGGGGTGATGTGGGGAAGAGCGTTGAGGCGTTGTTGGAGATGAGCGGAGGAAGTTAGTTAGTGTTGTAGAAGGCGGTTAAAGGGTTTGGAGTTCTAGGGGAGTATGGAGGAGTGGAAGGGATGAGTGGAAGGGATGAGTTTAATGGACTTGTTAGGTGGTTAAATGTCGCACACGTACTTACAGTAATTCCTACGATTCTGTCTACCTCCGCCTAGAGAATATTGTTTCCATGTACAGCCCTACCGCGCGAAATAAAGTGAGTCGGTGACCCGACCATATCGTCACTCCTAGATCAGTCGATATCAGTGCGTAGGAATTAGAAAACCTGTGAAAAGAAGATGTAATATTAAAGTAGTTGTAATCGGGTAGGAATCGAACCTACGCCCTCGAGAATGTTGGTCCTCACGCTCTACCATGCTGAGCTACCGAAGCTACTCTAATATTACATGTCTATTACAGCCGTATCATAGTATATAAGGGTCCAATGAGGTACGTTACTGAAACATGTCCATTCTTGTGACAATGCATGTTATATACGACAGCAACCTTTTGAATCACATAAAAGCGTACTCAATGTTCAACGTTCAACGTTCAATAGCACTCCTTGTAGTTCTCCAAATTCACATTTACCTAGTATTATACATGCATGATGTTCTACCCTTCCAAAGTCCTGCCCAAATCGTACAGTGGATACGTTCTAAGTAATAACAGTCGGCTTCTCCCTGCCCAAAAACTCCTTCAGCTTGCTGATCTCGAGCGCAACCTCGATCAGGCCCTTCAACCCTTCAGCCGTCGGTGTCGTCAACTCCTTACCCTTGTCCTTGCTGACGTACCGCTCGACGTACAACCTCACGGTGGCACCCTGGCTTCCAGTGCCGCTCAGCCGGAAGACGACTCTGCTGCCGTCAGAGAACTGGACGATCTGACCCTGGTTCTTCGATACGCTGCCGTCGACGGGGTCGGTGTAGTGGAAGTTGATGGTCTCGCTGACAGTGAAGGATTGACCGGTCGAGGCGGACTTGTGGATGGTGCCGATGAGAGTACCCTTGGTGATATGCTCGTTGAGGTTATCTACGAGTTTCTGCGCGCCTTCAGAGGAGACTTCTTCGTAGTCGTAACGAGAGAAGAAGGAGCGCCCGTATTCGGCGTAGTGCTTCTTGAGGAGCTCGTTGATACCGATGAACTCGTTGGGAGACTTTTTGTTGGCGAATGCGATGATGTTTAACCAGGCTGACATGAACGTAAGCATGATGAAAACTGGATTTAATAATATGTTGCATACCGACAATAGCCCATACACCGTCTTTCTCACGAATATGGTCTGAGCCGGTACCGAATGATTCCTCGCCGCAGATGGAAAGCTTTCCAGCATCCATGAGGTTACCGAAGAATTTCCAACCTGAAAACATCTGAATGAGTATCCTCTAAACGCAACTCACAGAGTAACTCACCGGTAGGAACCTCGTAGCTTGTCAATCCCTTCTTCTTGGCAACGTACTCGATCTGCTTGCTAGTTGGCATGCTACGAGCGACACCCTTAACACCGCTCTTGAAGTAGGGAATAGCCTCCTCGGCCCAGTCAGCGATGATAGCGACACTGTCACTAGGAGTGACGAACGCGCCCTTGCCGTAGATCATGTTCCTGTCACCATCTCCGTCACTAGCAGCACCGAAGGCGATGTTGTTCTTCTCGACGTTCTCGACGAGTTCGTGTGCATAGGTGAGGTTAGGGTCGGGATGTCCTTGACCGAAATCAGGTAAAGGAATGGCGTTCTGGATCGAAGTGGGAGGAAGACCGAGCTTGTCGACAAAGATCGCTTTGCCGTAAGGGCCAGTGACACCGTGCATACCGTCGAAGAGGACCGTGAACTTATCAGAGTTGGTGACGAGGAAAGACTTGATGAGGTCAAAGTCGAAGATAGATTCGAGCAACTCGACGTAATCCTTGACAGAGTCGATGATATCGACTTCGGTGGGGCCGTACTTTGTAGTCCCGATCTTGGAAATGTCGACGGGAGGCTGCTCGATGACTTTGTATGCGGTGATCGACTTGGTCTTTTCGAAGATCTTGTCCGTCACGCTCTCCGGGGCGGGTCCACCGTTTGACACGTTGTACTTGATACCAAAGTCGTTGTCAGGTCCTCCAGGGTTGTGGCTGGCGGTGAGGAGAATACCGCCGTATGCCTTGTACTTCCTGATCACGTTCGACGCGGCGGGGGTGGAGAGAATGCCATTCTGACCGATGATCAACTTGGCAACACCGTTGGCAGAAGCGATCTTGAGGATAGTCTGAACAGTCTCTGGGGACCAGAAACGACCGTCGCCACCAATGACGAGGGTCTGCCCCTTGGCGTCGATTGAGTCGAAGATGGCTTGGACAAAGTTTTCTGTGTAATGCTGGCAATGACGTATAGAGTAAGATAACGAGCGATATATGCTGGAGACTTGGACGTACCTCCTGCTGGAAAACCTTGACCCTGTAACGCGCATTTGGTTCAGCACATCGATGTCGAACGCGTCGTCGCTGGAGCGTACCTCTTTCTCAGCCCGGACGTGCCTGGCTTCTGGCCGTCGTAGGGTTTCGTCTGAATTTCCTTCACTGTGAACGACATGGTGGTGGTGAGGGAAAGAAAGAGGTGTCTTGGCTTAGATTTGGGGGAAGCACACCTCGGCTTAAATATTATCTACAGACGATCCGGATAAGACGATGATCATGACGCATATATCGACAAATCCGACTCGTGTTCGCCATCCCCCTCCGACCTCGCCACGTTCGACGATCATCTGCTCTGTCGTAGAACGTGCTCAGGTCCTCGGGATCGTCGTCGACGGCTACGAATTCGAACATTGCACATGGGGCGAAGGAAACACAGCGTCGCTGGCCAAAACCGGAAACAGTTTCCACTAGTCTAGAGATCATGGTGGCCACTAGCCTCGCGATGTCGGGCGCGGGGAAACAGCAAGAATCAGAAACATATGCTACGCTGCGAAAACACTGTGCGAGGCCATACGATGGCGACTAGAACAAGACCGGAAGATGCACTAGGACCCCGAACCACTTGCTCTTCATTACCATCGATGTGTTCTCGTAACAAACCAGGCCGTATGTTTTACGTATGTTTTCAAACATACTGCAGTCTGCCCGAGATACAAATGATTTTCTCGAAGAATCAATTCATACATATCTCGCATATAATATACAGCAAGTCGTGTTACAGCCTATTACTGTCCGATTACAGCCCGTATGTATCATAAACGTCTAGTCCATCGGTATCATCATAATCACTGCTCAAGGGTATAACAATTGTGCCGGGTAAAGCCATCCTCGTCCACCTATAGCTCTAGATGTTAGCACATGCAGCGACGCGAGGAGTATGTCAAGTAACTCACCTCCGTGGTGCAAGCCACCCACACCTCACCACCAAACACAAGCGCAGGGTTCGCAGATACTCTGGACAACTGAGTCTCGCGATATGGCATGCAAGTGACGACGTCCTGATCAAACACCTGCCCCTTGCGGAACACCGTAGGTCGTCGTACAATTCGTCCACCTTCCGGAAGCTCAACGTCTCGCAAAGGACGACCAAGACGTAGTCGCCTCCTCGACCTGGACAACGAACTTTTCCCAGCGCGCATCAACTCGCGAGAGACGACTTGAGGGCTGAACTCGAGCATTCTCCAGTCTGAGAGCAGGATCTGAGAGCCGTAGGCTCCAGTGATGACTGTGGTGTGGTCGACGAAACACCGGCTGCTTTGCGGTCCCCACTGACTCCACGGCACTTCCTGGTGCATTCCAGTGTTCCTGAATGCAGCAACCAAGGACTGGATGAATGAAAGTGGGAAGACGTGCGTCACCCTCGTCACGTGGTGCCGGATATCGTGATAGTAACGGATGAGGAATATGAGAGGGTTCACCGCCGACCGTACGAAGGGGCGTTCGGGAACAGAGAAATTTGGCATGAGTCCCCCACCGGAAGAACCAGTAATGAAGCCATTCGCGGGTGTGATCAGGTCAGACTTGACTTGTGGGTATCCAAACGTCGCGACGTGGCATAGCTTGGTGATAGGGATGTCGTCGCGAGTGAGAACAGTGACGAGTGCGTACACTTCTGTCTCGAACTTTCCATCCTTCATCATGTGCAGCAAGACAGTCTCGTCATCGACGTGCTGAGGAGCAACTAGACAAGTGTCACGAATCATACGTGTGCTTGTCTGCACGCGGGGGTTAGTGAATGTACACCAGACCTGGTGTTAGGACAACTCACGTAGGTGTAGCTGCACGTTTCCAAGTCCAATACGGTGATGTGCGCATGTGCATTCACCACTCCCGGATGAGTCACTCTGGTGATAGTAACACCATTCCCCTTGACACTGATCTCCGGTTCTGCCCAGCCGGGATTCGGAGCACATTCAAAGCGTACGGTTTGTCTTGACAATACCGTGCCGTCTCTAACAGCTACCTTCCAAATTCTAAATGGCTATGTTAGACGATTATCCTAATAGCAATAAGACTATAACGCACATATAGTTTTCGTTCACTGAGCTGACAGGATCCGTTTCCAGGTCTAGGAGCACAACCATTGACTCGGAGGGGTTTCCAGACACACACACAAAAGAAAACGGGAATGTCAGCTCCCACCGTTCTGCTACGGGAGTCCCCCCTTCTACTGGTTGGAAGGCAACACATTGGAGTCCATTCCACTTGCCTTCCTCCGCGCCAAAATTCCTCTTGAAGCGTACCCACAGGTTATCGTCCCAATTGGTATTCCGCATGTCCTCGTACGAGACAGACCATGGAAAGTCTGTTCGCCGCCAGGTTCCCTTGGGGTTCCTCCAGAAACGGGCCTCCTTCTTCAACGCTTCTCGACGGGCGGTGGAACCCATGCCTGTGCAGAGCGGGTTGTCCACGTATCCTGCTGCGTGTAGCTCAATCATGTATTGCATCTCCGGAGAGTGGTCGATGACGTTCTGGAAGTGCTTGCATGCCTATTTCAAAGCATGAGCCTCATGTGTCAAGTATGTGTAATTATGAGAAATGAAAACGAAGATTTATATTTACCGAGCGACAACGTAATATATCGACTACACCCAGGTGCTCGAATATCTTGAGGAACAGCTCGACGGGCAGACGAGGCGGTGTCTTTCCAGAAGAGCCATCATCAAGGTACACTCCACGTTGAGGTCTCTCTTCGTCGTCTGGGTTGTTCGTCCGGTGTGGGCTGGTCTTGCGCGACAACGCACGGGGGAGGAGTTGGCGGAAGGACAAGTTGACCATGGTTAGTCTGCAAGGGGACAACGGGTCAGGGTTTTATAGGATGGGACATAGGGCCCAGGGTGTGAGGCTTTATGCGATGAGTATAGTATGTGGCACTGGATTTCAGAGGCGATGCCTCACCATAACAAAGATAATAACACCTGGGCAGTTATTTTGTCAA